AGATACCTAGTTTAGGGTTTAGGGGTAGATAAAGTCTATCGACAGAAGTGTCGATTGAACCTGAGACTACACGAAATTATATGTCAGGTTGGGATTCGACATTTAAGAGTCGAGGTTTACGATGTCCACGTTTGCGAAACTGTGACCGTCTTTTCTCACTGCCTGCACAGAATGAGATTTTCCGTAGCAAAACTAAGGATAGGCCCCCTAAGACCGAATTAGGTAGTTCCACGTACAATACACCAGAACTGCACAACCTGGCTGCAAAACTGAACTATTGTCAGACTGCTGGACTGTAGAACTGGCAGCGATGTACCGCGCTGCCCTTGGCTCCTCCATCCATCGTCGCTCGAGTGAAGAGGACGTTTGTAAAAAGCCAGGAAAGCAAACAAAACTAATGAGATGACTACCGCTTTTCTGGCGTACATATATTTACACAGGCGGCCTCAGAGGGCATAAACAGGTGGTCGAGATCGTCGAACTCCTCCAGGTGTAGACCTTCTGAATCACAATCGTGATCCTCCAATTCTCCCGTCAGAACTGAGGCGTACTCGTCCATGTCATGTAAACTTTGCATTCTTCTTTCCTCTTCAGCAGCCAGCTGCCGCTGCTTAGCCATCCACTCCTTCTCTTCCTTGAGTGCCATGGCACGTGCCTCTGCCTCTATTGTTGCTTGTGCAGTCTCAGCATCTACTTCTGTGAACTGGAACTTCACTCTCTCCGCCATGACACACATCGGGCAAACAGCAGTCTTTTGAAGTCGTGATTCCAATAACCGTTGTTGCAATGTCGCAATCTCAGTGGCATGCCGTCTTTTCGTCTTTTCCAGGTCTCGCTTTATAGAAATTGCATCCTGCTCCGCAATAGCTGCCGCGTCCTGTTTCAATAGACAATGCTTCTGTTAAACGCTGGTCTAACATGGGATTGCTGTCTTGTACGTACGTAAAGCCCGTATTAAGTACCGTTTGGCATGTTGTTGAAGTAGTCGAGATCAGAGCTAGTAGATCATCTTATATTGAGAAAAGTGCGTTTCTTACCAGGTAACTTTAACGAGATGCTTAAATGTATATGGAAAAACATGTACAACAGATAAGGAACAATGACTTATAGTCGGAAAGTAGTAATAAACTATAGCTCGACAGAAATCGAAGGTGTATGTGCTATGTAGCGATGTCAGCAAAGATCCTATCAACTTTGGAGGACAAATTTAAACGAACAGATAGATTCTCGAAGTCGAGGCTCACCTGAGCTACCATCACAGACTCTTCTGCTTCCTTGAGACGCACGAGCAGTTCTCCTGCAGCTTGTACAGCCTCTGCTGTGTCTCGAAGCTGGACTTGTAGACCTCGAATTTCTTCTTTAGCAGCTCTTCTCTCTTCATCAAACTCAACCTTCATGGCTGCCATCTGGGTGGCTTGAGCATCTAGCCACCTAGACTCAAAGTTGCTAACTCCTGCTCTCTTTGCCATTTTCTTTACATCCACCGTTCTGCAAGTAGAAGAAAGTATTAATGATCACCATACTTTGCGCAGTTCCTCTAGGCAGCGAAGAAATTAGCAAACAAAAATGTCCAATGCTCAGGTACGACTAATACTCACGTTTCACGTATCTTTCTCTGCTTAGAAATCAAGCCAATGTGCTTCTCTTGAAGTTCTGCGTATTGCTCTAGAAGCCTCGCGTGACCAACCATAGCCATCTGCAGAGCTTCTTGAACCTCTTCCGAACATCTTTTCTCACACTCAAACTCTTGTTTTCTCTTGTCTGCCAACCGTTTATATGATTCTACTTCATCTCGCATCTCTTCCAGAGCGGACATCCAGTCTCTTTCTCGTTCTTCCCACTCTTCTTTCTCCACTTCCCAGCGCAGTTGCTCACTGCTGCGTGCATCAGTAACGACGAGTGCTCTACTGATGTCACTGTCAAGCTGCACTTGGGAGGGCTCCTGGTGTTGGGGAATAGGAAATATGGGAAGAGAACGAGCTTCTTGGGAAGTACTTGAACATTCGGTGTCCCTTGTGGGATTGCTAACTACTTGGATTGACTTGCGTGTTGATGATAGACGCCTGTTTTTACCAGCTGAACCAGGTTGATCGAGAATGTTCTGCAGCTGATTTCGCAGTTGACTTATCTCTTCAAGCAAGACGTCGCGCTCCCCCAAATCAAAAAACATTCGATACTTGTTCAGCTCTTCGAGAAGACGTTGTTGTTCCACGGAGGAGTTTGTCACCTCAGGATGATTATTGAATTTCTCTTGCAGTAACTGTACGTGGCTCAGAGTAGTTAGATGAGCGTCGAAGTGTTCTTGCAAGCAGACTATTGGACGTGGGAGAAGACAATCATGCACGCTATTAACTATCTGTGCACCTGTGCTAAACTAAGCTTTGCAGTCAAAGTCCTTCTAAAAGAGGCAAATGGTGGACATAGAGACATTGTTCTTAGAGCACACAAACCTTGTGCTCGAGAAGAAGTGCCGACCACTCTTCGTTGAGATACTCGTCTGTAGGAATAACACTCTCCATGAGAGACTCAAGTCGGGCAATTTTTTCTTCTCGTGTTTGATGTAGTATGGCATTGCATTCTCGTTCATGCTTGTATTGACGTACCTGCAGGGAACATCCACAGTATTCATGTCCATCATTAGTGTAAATCCGAAGAGTCCAAGCAGTACTTTCTATGATGTGAAGAACAAATTATTGAAAGGCGTTGCCACGTTCTCCCCCTTGTATTGTGACTTAGATTTCCAGGTATTTGTACTTCTAAATTAAAGGCGATAAACTTACCAGTCGATTTAATTGCTCGATTTCAGCGGCTTGCTTGTACATCATCTCTTCTGCGACGCGCTCCCTCCTGATGGCTCCCGTAAGCAAATTCTCCACGGCCTATAGAATGTAAGTGCATGAAAATGCTGTTACCATTTGCTAATATTGTCTCTAAACATTCGAATCTCGGAAAGCAATATTACTACTGTTGTAAACTACGGAGATAGATGAGCTCATACCTTTGTGACATGAAGATTTGTGGGGTTACCACCACTCCCACTCGTGGATATCGGTACATCTATTGTCACAAGTTGCCATTGTGAGGCGTCTTGGCTGCTTGAAGGGTGATGGACTGGTACAGAGTGGGAGATAGACACCTCGTCTACAACTTCTGTGGACAGTGTAGATATCATCCGCAGCTGACAGTTTGGTAAACGGGTAGATGATGTATTTATCATCTGCTGCAGACAATCGCCTCCTTCGTCACATGGTGTGCAAGTCAACTGAACTTCATAATTCTCTAGTCTTGGTAGAGATGAGGATACACTCTGGAGCTCTGTACCTACGATATCAGGTGATGAAGTGTAATCTAATTGGAGATTAGTCTCTCCAGATTCTTGAATAAGGAAGCCGATTGACTCACGACTAGTTTCCAATTTACTAGAAGGGACCACGTTTGAGTCACAAGTAACAGTTCTCTGTGTTTCTTGAGGGTCTATCATGGATGAGGTGGTTGTTCTCACATCACTGGGAGAAACACTCAGTGTCAGTGCCAGTTCCAAATTACGACTGGACAAGTCTTCGAGACGCAGAGCAGAACTATTGACGAGCACTAGGGGGGAGGTACTCTTACTAAGTAGTGCTGTTGGACTGGTTTGTACTGACTTGTCGACTGTGTCAATCATTTTCGGGATGCGGAAGTCGCAATTTTGCGTAGAGAACCTCAATCCGGCACTGGAGCTACGAACAGCAGCTATGGAAGTTCTCTGCTGGTTATCAAGGATTTGCAGACCTCGATGTAAACATGCAGCCAGTCTCTCTGTTGGCCTGGCTGCTGACATGCTTGCACGCGCAGTTGATCGAACTATAGAATTCCTTTTCATTTGGAGGGACAGGGATGTACTACTATCAGCAAATCCTTCCTGGGTGGAGTGGTAAATTTCATCACATACTGCAGAATCGCGGACGTTGGCATGAACTGCCAACTCGACGCGAGGAGCAAGTGGAGAGCCCGTAAGACCTTTCCTCGTATTTCCTTTTAGTCTCGGGGACACACTCAAGGGAGGTGAGTGTAACTTCGGAAGAACTAATTCTTGAAGTTTGACAGACTCGGGTGTCTTCAGGTTTGGGGAATCATCGTCGAGGTTCACCTCTGTTTCAGACTCGTGACTACTACTGGGATCATATTTCTCGAAGACCTTGGACTCTGTATCCGTACGATCATCATCTCCATCAGCTTTTGAGTTGACCTCACCCGTTTCTGAGTCCTCGATCTCCATCACTGTATCAGAGAGCCAATCCTTTTCTTCAATAGCCTCAAGTCTATACGCTCCTGGTCGTACCCCACCCCTTGTATCAGCTGAACATATAGACACGGGTCCACTCTCATTGTCATCTTCATCGATTTGCATCTCGAGATCATTATCCGGATCCAAGTCTGCAGCACTTATGTTCATGGGATGACTTAAACTAAGCCGCAAAAGATTGTAACTTCGACGGGCATTCCACCCATTCGAATAGCCTCCAGTACCTTGTTCTTGACTGCCATTTGTTTTCATCCTCATGAGCTCGTCCTGTTCCATTTAGAAGACGCAGAATCAGGAAGGTAAGACTGAACGAGACGTGTAAGTGCTGTGAATCTAGAACAACGAAGTGAAAAAATCTGCGAACTATTTTCTGACCTTTAGTTGACGGATTTGCTCTCGCAAGAGATTCACATCACTTGCAGTTTCCTCGTTCACAACAGCTTTGTTTTGCACGGCCTTCGCCCTTTGAGCAAACCTCAAGGTGCTCAGCGTTTCACCTCTGCAACTGTCAAGTATATGATCCCAATTAGTTCTGGAAAACTGCCAAACGCACTGGAACAACTTGCTGCCTACAAGTCTCCTCAGAAGTCTGGCCAGCAAAATAAATGGTAGAACTGCCTGCTCCCTACGCTTTAGCAGATGTTGGCGAGCGCACAGCGAGACGAAAAAAACCGAAAGGGCTAAAGCAATATATCTATTTTTGTCTCCGCTCTTTCGCGCATTTGGTGAAAGAGGTAAACACGACGGATTTAAAATCCGTTCCTATTGGTTATTGGTTCAAGTCCAATAATGCGCATCATTTAAAAACGTCATAAAAATGACGAACAGAATATTAAATCTCCAAAAGCACGAGCGTGAACCTCGTATAGCTATCCAACTCCAACTTAACTAATAGAACCTCGTATCTGCGAAGCGAGTAAAACTGAAGTACCTGCTAGCTGGAGATATTGCACAGATCATGGCCAATTTGGCATTTCCACCAAGAGATTCTTGCAACAAGAATGTCAAACGAGAGTCACGGTATGGTATATGGCGCTGTTTCCCAGTTTGAGCCACGTCAGCAAGAATGTTTATTACATTTCCAAGTTGAGATAAAGACTTGTTTATATTTCCAGCTTCTTTGAGTCTCTCCCCAGCGGCGCCGGTTTGCTTTTGACGCTCTGACCCGGCCAAATCAACGAGGTTCATGCGACTGCTCCTTACGCTATTCACCCCGTCTGCCAAGTTCTGGTCGACAAGTACAAGACGGTAAGGTGAGTTCAAAACAGTTTGAAAGTGGAGCCAGTCCTATCCTGATAAGATGCAGATGGACTCCTAGGACTATGTTTATAAACGTGCAAATCGAGAAACGAAAGTGTTACAAGTAGAAACTCACTCGGACAACAAGTATAAGTGAAAGATCACCTTGAAACGACAATCAATGACGCAAGTGAACACACTGTGAGAACGAGAACTTTCATTGTTCATGACAGTGGCTCCAGTCCTCCTGTTCGATAGTCCCTGTGATCAAAAGAATTGCCTTAATTCTCCAAGATAGACTTTTCTCACAAATTCAGAGTAATTTCGTTAAAACTACAAAGATCGTTGTGACGTGTCCACTGCACGCCAGTTCAAAAAAAACTAGATATATGTAGATACAATTCAACCAATTCTCCGCAAATTTGTTAAATCGCGCGATAATACTGACCCTAATTAGAAGACGAGTCACGTCATCAACATTAGAGACGTATTCTTCAGAAAGACTGTAAACGTACACACCAGTTTTCGTATCTTCTCTGATCTGCAAAAACACGTCCTCGCACAATGATTCGAGTAAAAAAAGTAAATCAATATTCGATCATCACCGAAGTGGATACATCCGCCCTGGAAATAGATTAGATGGAAACGTTGATACATTAAGATATCAAGGTTTGAAGACGAAATTGTCATGATCAAAATCCTCACACAATCATTTGAGTAAAGTAACCAACAAGAAAGTCAATAGTCAGCAGTATGGCGCAACATGGATACACCCCGCCTTTAAAAAAAGGGAGATATTGAAGCATAGAAGAAAAAAGTTTAGAAGAGGACATTGTCGTGCTGAAGGAGCGAGAGGTACTTCTCTTTGGATACCCCCCAATTCGTTTCAAATCAAGCATTTTAACTATTACAGTCAGTTTCCGGCCATCCAATCATACCTGGAGGTTTCTGTGTGATGGATCTAGCAGATCTGTGATCTGTTCATTGTAGATCTGTCAAAGTTTAGCGCACGCATGAAGCGTTAGAAGAGACAACTAGTGACAAAAGCACCGAACAATGTGACAAGATGCCTCCAACAACAACAAAAGGAAATCAGGAAACAGTTCCGTTGTTCAAGATTCCTGGCAGGTAAGGTTGACAATGAAACCAGAATGAATGAATGAATGTGGCTGTGAATCAACTGAAATTCGTCACAATAATATGAACCGATACCTCCAGGAACGAGCAACGGCATTGATACCGCAGAGCTTTATCGGTGTTCAATATCTCTTCCTGCAAAGCCAAGGCATGATTGTCAGTAGGAGTGCGGCTAACGCAAGTCGGAAACCTGTAAACCATGTAACATAGCATCATTAGATCAGATCGACGTGCTATAACCCCTCCGACCCAGTCGCAGTCATTGTTTCTTTTTGAAGAAATAAGCACCTGCTGCATGCGGGAAAAGAGCTTCTCGAAAACTCTGGGAGTGAGTCCTCTGTCCCTGTTTGAGGGTAAATCAGCACCTGCATCGTTCGTTGCTCCCCACATTGTATGTGTCTTCCCACTTCCCGTCTGAAAGCATGATCGATGGCCAGGTAAATAGTGCGTGAACCCAACCAAAAGGACGTCAGTAACCACAAAGAAGCACTGACTTGAATTTGCACAAGAGGACAAGATTTCAAAACAAAACTCGCTGCAAGAAAAATGTACCTGTCCGTAGGCAAAAATAGAGCTATTAAAACCCGCAAGACAATTCTCCACCATAGGCAAGCCCACCATTTCAAAGACCTCTTTCTGCAGGTACAACAGTAAGGTGTTTACATCGACGAACATATGGAAGGAAACGCTCCTATGTAATTATCTTCCAAAATCTGCTAAAAGTAGCAGAGGCAGAGATGGTTACGCAGGGGATAAAAAGTTACTGGAGAGTGAAACTAGCATGAACGAGTATACTTCTTTCGGTTGCAATTTCACGTTATAGATGCAGGAGAAATTATATCGTCCTGTTAACGCAGCGCTGGCACTCGAAAACTACAGAGAACGAAATGGGCAACATGAAACGAGGTCAATTGGAGTTATCACCTGGGAAGCATCCTCGCCTGCAATGGCGTCATACGTAAATTGTTGATCACCCAAGGAGACTGCATTGGTTGAGATCTTCTGTACGACTTTCGTTGCCTCCTCTTGTTCCTCCTTTGCGTTCAGGGGTCTCATCCTGACAATTACCTGCACAATATAGCGCTAGATGTCACTTTCAAGGCAATCCTGTTGGAAATTCCAGACCTCGGTAGCTTCCAGCGGCCGTATCCAGACAGAGAAATAGCTTCACACTGATTACTCAGAGGCTAACAGAAATATGCGTTCAGAACACAGCTTCCGCCAATGCAGGGGCTCTATATCAGTTGTGTCGTTGACCACTGATATAGATAACTCAAGAAAGACTAAGTGAACATCTAGCGAAGAAATTGCTAAAATTTCAACTCCATGACAGCGTCAGCGACTTGCAGCCTCGTTCTATAAGCAGAATTTTCTTTGAGTTACGAGTTCAATTGCCTACTGAAGAGGCACTACGGCATCAATCGAAGTAGTAGAAAAGTCCCTGGCTAGAGAATACATCCTTAGTCGCCAAAGTAAAACTTTCTGTGCGCACTGATCACTTCAATATAGTAAACTGAATTCATGGTGTAGGCTTATGAAGTGGTCTCCAGTCAATGGGACGACCGGCAATGTTTCTGGATATATGCCTCGTAGCTCGTGTCCTCAGTTGAATAAGATCTTGACAATAATATGTAGGTGACGCAACGGGCGTCAGCGGCAGAGCCTGGTCGAGAAAGCATCAATTACTGAAATTCCCTACTCGATTGCCACAAATCATCAGTCTCCAGTATTCAAAGCATTGAAACAATCGACACGCCACACCAAGAAGGAAAGTAGTGTACCTTGACACCGGAATCGCTCCCATCTACTTCAGCTGAAGCGGAGTTGGTGAAGTTCTCATACAAAGCGCCGCTGTTCGTTTCCCAGCTGAGCTTTCTCTTGATGCTACCAGAGGCATCCTGAATGTAGCCGTTGGGTGGCTCATTCTTTGGTCGGCTTGTTCCCCCAGGAGAAGGTTTGGACGGAGGTCGTGGGAGTAATGCAGGACTACCCGGGAGAAGTGCACCACCAACATTGCGTCCTTTAGTTGCCGATTTGCTCTGAGCTGGGGATCCAGCACCTTGATTCAGAGTGTTCGCTTTAACATAGGCTGCGGTATAAACATTATCTGGAGGTACATTCTCTCCATTCGTTCGTGATCTACGAGCAGAATTCGAAGCCGAGAAGGCTTTTTGATGCCTAAATGGTCCCAGAGTAAACGGCTCCCTATCTTTAACAGGCGACTCTGCTGGCGATATTGTACCACGAATCGTCCGCGATCGGGTCAAAAGCGGTGGCATTTTCACAATTTTCCAGGTACGTCAAAATTGTTCCTATTAGTTCCCTTGGCCGCCGTGGGTGAGGAACATCAATTGGGTCTGTGACTGTAGTAAACTGCTCTTTGCGAACACCTTTTCTCTTCGGCGTCAAGAGATTCTTCTCAAACGGCATTCGTCCGTCTGACCACTACCACTACATCAATCACTTCAGCTCTCCCCGGTGGCTCTACACATTCTTCCGCTAGATTGTCAGCACAGCCGACTTGTTTTGTCCTCCCTGTCGCGAAAATGGGTACTGCGGTCCTGCTCCGTCTATCAAATGTTCACGGAGGAAAAATTGCCGAACTGCGCTTGACAGGCCCCCGCGTACAGACCAAATATATCTTCTCATGAACAACTCACTCTCTCTCTCTCTCTCTCTCTCTCTCTATGTGCCTCAGGAATTGACCGATGAGTCAATCGAAGAGACTCAATTCGAAGATTGTAACTATCGCTTGGAGCCAAAACACAGAAAATTATGAGACAAAAGAGAAACAAAGGACGCAGGACAGAAAATGCGACCCAACTTGAGGAAAAGAAGAATGTGAAATACTGGAAATAGATGGTGTTCAAAGGCAGAAGCTAGAATTTTGGACTCTTCAGTTCTTCATAGAACCGGAAAGATGGTAGCTCATCTGAGCGATGAAGATAGACAGAGCGAGAAGTATTGAGCCGTTGAGTGGTGGGAGTGCAGGGAGTGAAGAGATTCAAACATCAACCAACGGTCATATTCAAAACCCGAAAAGAGGCGGGGAGGTTCTTGCCTAATCTGGACCCCGATACAAACAGAGTTAAAAGAAGATCCTTCGCTGTGAGAAAGCCATTAACTTGGAGCCACGTGAGCAAGCCACACACGTGTCCCGACCAGCCAATGTATAGGTTTTGAAATTCGATATCATTTTTATGATTTTGACTTCCTTGGTCCTGCTTTACTACCTATAGCGGATGAACGGTTAGATGCACCAAAAAGAAAGAAATTCTCCAACAATCCAAGAGACACATTAAAATAACAAAAGGGATGGGAAGACCCATCAAATGGGACAAGGATGGAACCAAACTCGTAACATGAGGAAGCCCCAATAGCATCATTATTGGGAAATATGTACTGCATCATCTAAGATATA